CATACACCGCCATATGCTATGTCTTTTGTGCATTTGGTGAGTAGTGGAGCAGGCCCCACTGGACGGATTCGTAAGAAAACAAAAACAAAAAAACGAGAGCGCCAGGGGCATCTTCATCCTAACCCATAACTGCCGACATGCGGACCTGAACGCCAATCTTCACCATATATTGGTGGTCGGCTCGCAATAGAACATCCAATTTGCGACTTCTGCGAAGCTTCGCGGGGCATGTCGTTATTAGGCGACTACCCCTTCTTGCGAATTGACCCCACTACCGTGTGGGATTTGCAGAAGGCAGCGGGAAGGACATCTCTCATACCCCGCCTAAAACAAAAGTTGGAATGAGCCCTATTTTGTGCCTCGCCATTCGAAACTTTTTGGGGAAGGGCCTGCGCAAATCGAATTTTCAGCAGCCCTTACCCAAAAGAAAGGTTCAGGCCGTGGGCACGGCCGGTTTGTGAACTTGCGCGGTGAGTTTAACATTTTTGCCGAGTTGGGGCCCCTAAGAAATTAGAAAACCCCTACTTTTTTTCTTTTTTTTTTTGGACCTAATGAATCTTCTGCTGAAACATGGAAACATACACCGCCATGCGCCGCAACTATAAATTGGAATGATGCAGAGAAGATTAGCATGGCCCCTGCACACACGGATGGCAAGAGAAGAAAAAGAAAAGAACAAGATTTTGAGGAAGCGTCTCAGTCATAAGTTGCTCAAAATAGCGTTTCACACCTTTTTCTTTTTCTTCTTTTGCATTCCATTGGTGGGAGCACACAACATGCACCGCAACTGTGCCACGCACACGCAAATGGTAACAAGAATGAAAACAAAAAAATGTTTTCAACTTTCAGAAATTCAGAGAATATGATTTTGAGTCTTCTTTCGGTGTCCTCTGGAACATCTGTTATAATTGGAATGATGCAGAGAAGATTAGCATGGCCCCTTCACACAGATGGCAAGAGAGGAAAAAGAAAAGAATAAGATTTTGAGGAAGTGTCTCAGTCGAAAGTTGCTCAAAACAACGTTTCACAGATTTTTCTTTGTTTTTTATTGCATTCCTTTGGTGGGACCACAATGTGCACGGCAACTGTGCCACACATACGCAAATGCTAACATGGTGTGCGCTTGCAAGCATGGTTACAATAAAATAGGATCCGAAAAAGACAGGCATTCAGTCCCAGAAGGGTAGGAGTCATGGCGTATGCTCAGGGAGGCAGGAAGGAGTGACAGAGAGCAGTGAATTACGGGCTCATGTAGTTCGGTGTGCCACATATAGTTCGGCGCTCAGGGTCGGCACTGTGCACAGCAGCAGCCAGGCCGAAATCTGCAATTTTCTGCGAGACAACAGAAAACAGGAGAGGAGGGGACTATCATTAGTGGTCTGATTAAGCATCAAAGCCAACAGTGGCAACCTCCGAAACCAAAGTGGAGCAAACCAAATGGCACACGTGGTCTGTCAGTCCCTCTGTCCATCTCTCTCTCTCTCTCTCTCTCTCTCTCTCTCTCTCTCTCTCTCTCTCTGTGTGTGTGTGTGTGTGTGTGTGTGTGTGTGTGTGTGGGTGTGTGGCATACTCAGTACCACACGGCCCCAGCAGGGCCCGACCAGGTAGACTAGGGGTCCGTAGGTGTAGGGCCTGTTTCGTTTCAGCCTAAAAGCCTGAAAACGAGGGCCTACAGGCCCTGTNCCAGGTAGACTAGGGGTCCGTAGGTGTAGGGCCTGTTTCGTTTCAGCCTAAAAGCCTGAAAACGAGGGCCTACAGGCCCTGTGTCGTTTCAGCCCAAAAGCCTGAAAACAAGGGCCTACAGGCCCTGTGTCGTTTCAGCCTAAAAACGGCCCTCCAGGCCCTGAGTCTTTTCAGCCTGAAACGGAGGGCCACTTTCAGGCCCTCATAAGATCGACCTGCCCTGAAACTTAGGCACCAGTCCAGGGTTTTAGCACAGGCCATTTTGGGCCTGTTCTCAAGACAACCTTTGTTTGAACTTCAACACCAGGGTCTGGCACGTTTTGGCATTGATCATTAGGAACTTCCCAGACACTTCACGTACAGGAGGCAGGAGGTAGTCTTCAGGATTCGGCAGCAGCACTCTGGAGGAGCGCTACACGAGTAGCAGTAGCATTAGCAGTAGTCTTCAGCGCTGGGCGCTAGTAGGAGCTAGAGTAGCGTTGGAGAGAGAGAGAGAGAGAGAGAGCGATGGTTGGCGGAGGCCAAGGAGAATTACCTGTGGCGCCATAGCTCCAGCTTCGTCTTCGATGTACCTGCAACAAGGCGCCGCCTTCGCAGGTTAGTACCGGACAGTGAGTTCGTTCAGGCGACCTGTCCCTTCGAAGTCAGTCCGTCAGTCTGTCAAAACTGGTTGGTCAGGTCTGTCAGTCTGAGACCCGACGAGAGGTCACTAATGGTTTGTCAGTCTGCCTGTCGTTAGTGGGTTGTCAACGTGGGTCTCGAGCCTCCACACAGGCTGGGTTAGCGGCATGGTAACCGCGGACCCGGACACCGGACACTTCCGGACTGTTTCCCGGACCTGTGTCTGGACCAGTCCGGACTGTCCGGTGTTCCGTACGTCACCGGACACCGACTGTCTGGACTGTGTTGGCAGGGACAAGATGTCCGAAAAAAAAAAAAAGGTGGGGAGGGAGCTCCCC